TATTATATTAACAATTTGTGCACTGGCTGATAAACATGGCAGTTATTGCGGGTGATTGATTATTTCATTTTTTTGGACTCCATTAGGCCCTCCACAAAGCGGTTGCTGTTGCAGCCACACACAACCACACAAACACACCACACACACACCACGACACACACACCAAAGATGAACTTTTTGGTGATAATGGGACAGAAGCAGAGAGACGATGTGACTTTCCTTTAAGGAAAATACCAACATTAGACTGCTTACATTTAACTGCACACGACTTCACTGGAATATCTTCAGTGGGGTTGTATCCACCGAGTGCCACGTATGGACTCTCTCTGTTGCAACGGGTGGTTGAAGGTGGTGTATGGTGTGTGTTGTATCAGGATCCGAGAACGGACGCTTCTCTGTTCGAGTCAGATTCACTCTGATCTGGGTTTCTTTGCACGCGTGGGGCGGTGGGATGAGCTGGTGGTGACTCTGCTGATATTTGGCGTTATTTTAGGACCTTACCCCTATTGTCCATAGTCCAGAGAGTTTAAGTCCCTTCCTCTGGACAGACTTGCGTAACACCCTGTAACCAGCCTGGTTACTGGTCTCCAACCTCGGACATTCCCCGCTGTGAGTCCCTGAGTTAAAGCCCTCAGAGCAGGACGATAGGACATAATCAAACTCTTGGGTTGTCAGGAAGCTGGCGCTGCCTTCCTCTACCTCCTCTCCACTGGTCAGTCTCGGACAGGAGTGGTGTGTGGGAGGTGTGTGGTGCAGACTGTGAGGAATCTGCCTTCAGTCTTTGGTTTCAGATGTTTGGAATGTCGAATTGGCGCGCGCGCGCGCGCCGCCGCGAAGTGTGGTTGCGCGCGTGTGTGAGCATGTGAGTGTGTGTGCGCAGCGCGTGCTCGAGCGCACGTTGTAGTGTGAGATAGGTGAGTTAGTCTGTGTGTGTGGTGAGACTGAGTCCTGTACTCGCAGACCTCGTCTGTGGTGTATAGTGGAGACTCTTCTGTCCTTTCCCCTCGCCTCATACAGCGATCTCGCGTTGCGGGAAGAGCGTATAAATGTTCGCGTTTGGTGGCGCTGCTCGTGGTGTCGGTGCGGTAATGTGGGTCCTAGGCTGGTTCGTTCGCGGGTTGTTGATAAGAGCCCTCCGTAGCTTCGCTTCTGTTGAAGCTCAGAGGAATTTCGGTGATTCGTTCTTGTGTTGTCCGCTGGCTGCGTTCACGAGTGTGCTGAGATCTGTGGTTGGAGTTTTTTTTATCTCTGCAGATGAGACGACCCTGGCTGTAGTGGGTCGGCAGCAGGAAGAGTTTGGTTTCGTCAGGAGTGCAGACGTACTGCAGAGAGCCTCTGAAGCTCTTGGATCTCTCTCCTGTAGGAACGCCTCACAAAGGTTCTTTAACACCAGGTTACACGGTAAGCGTTCCTTTGAAGATCTTCTCTTACAAACTGGACACTCACGTGTTTGTTTCTCCGTCCACCAGCTCTTCAGACAGTCTTTACAGAAGCTGTGGCTGCATGACAGAACAACAGGATCTCTAAAGACGTCATGACAGATCGGACAGCAGAGATCCTCCTCTAATCTGGAAGCCATTTTGTCTCTGAGTGCAGCTGGAAACACAGCACGATAAAACAGGAAGTCACTTGTGTTTCTCCTCCCTGCTGTAGAAAGTTGCCCCAGTTACTTTAACCTTGTGTCTTGAGTGTTTTTTCAGTCCGCAACAGGTGGAAGTACTTCACTACTTCAGTATACTTCAGTACTTCGTCCTGTAACTGTCCTCCCTCAGTTAAAGTCACAGTTTTGTAATGAAGTTAAATCTCACTGTCTGTCGGTCTGTGTTTCTCTTCTCAGTGAGAACTGAACAGTAACTGTTTCCTGGTTTGTCTCTTAAAAAAAAAAAAAGAAGGAAGGATCATTACATCATCACACCAACATTTTAATGCTGACTTTGGTGCCAGTTATTTTGAAGCCCTTAGGAGATGTGCACTGGCAGGCTATAAACAACCCCTTATCTATAAAAGAACATATATGTTGTTTTATACTTAAGGGGTTGATTTGCTATGGTGAGCATTTTAATTTGACTGGTCATTAGCCCTGTAAAGTGCCTATAACCCTCTTTGCATACTATATGGGGACCAACAGCAAATAAACAATGTGCACATTTAGAAAAATCTGTCAGTATTCCCTGTGTTTTAGTGTGTTCTTTCATTTGGTAGAGGCATTTTCTTCATCAAAGGTCTGCTGTAGGTGCTCTTTCAGCATCATGTCTGGGCACACAATGCTCCACGGTCAGGTTGGCAATAATAACACTTGTTAGACACTAACACTGGTTAGGTTTAGGCACAAAAACTTCTAGCTTAGGTTTATGAAAATATTACAGTACGTACCTGACAACTTAAAAAACATTACAGTACAAGTTGAAATCAATGTTGACACGAAGAGACCAGATCTTCTCAGTTCACCTTTGTCAACTGGTGTGCACACAAACTAGAGTCCTCTGTGGACATATCTTATTTTCATGCAGTGTTGAGCAACTTTTACCACACCAATTTGTGCCGGCCTCTAGTTTCATCATAGTAATTGTAACATCCAAACTTCCCAAATATAAGCAACAGGTAACCTGCCTCAGCAGAGGAAGCTCCACACTGGCCTCTGCTGTCACCAGCCTGTAGATTCACTGGCTTCAAGTTGACTCTGGTAGTTTCCTACATCTCTACTTTCACAGGCCTCCAAATTCACTGGCCTCAAGTTCGACCACCTTCTAGTTGCACAGTTATGACTTCGATGTTGAAGTGAATGTTGTTTACAAGTCAAAAACTTGTAATTACAAAAACTCCTTCCTGTTTTATAGTGTTTTTATGCTTCTTAAGACTATAATTTAAGTCTGCTTCCTTATTTTTTAAGGCATGTTGTGACGCTCTGAAATTAAATTTGTCTGGTTCTCACTGAGAGGCTACTTGGGGCTTGGTTACTTAAGTAACTCTAGCTCTATGAACATAAGCTCAGTCTCAGAGTTAAATACTGTTTCTTTGTTCTAAGAAAGAACTGAAACCATGAAGCACACTGTGTAACTTTAATGAACAAAATGTCTGATCAGAATGAGATTTTCTCTCTATGTATGTTTCTCTATTGTACTGTTACTAATCATGTTTTCTGTGATGCCTGTTTCGATTAATAGTTCAATTCCCAAACTGCAGAGGTTTTCCTGAATGCATGGAAAAAATTTCAGATTTCATTAAGAAAACACACCTGACCAGATTTTTTTACCTTTTTTACTAACATGTTTATTATGCTCTCACTATTTCACAGATGCCGTTATCGAACTCTCTTTCTTTATGAACATTCATATGTAACGATCAACTACTGATTTCAATGATTATGTCCAACAAAGTAAAGTAAAGCAAAGAGGTCATCATTTTGTGGACTGCTGCTGGTAGACTGTTTACAAAATTTACTTTTAGTTAACTGTAAATATGTATCTATCACTTTTAGCTAATTACAACTGTTTAGCCATCATTTAACTATTACAACTGTTAATCCATCCCTTTAGGTACTTATACCGTAACTGTTGCATTATTTATTTGTTTCAACTGTACAAGCCCTATCCATTATTCTTTTGATTACTATCCATTATTTTTCAAATGTTTGTCCATTAGGCTACTTTTAGCAACTTTTTATCAATTATCTATGTGAAGTCTACCTTTTTCAACTTCTCTGCTCACTTGCTAACTAGTTTACGCGCACTCTGTGACCCAGTGTAAGGACATTTTTTTAAATCCTAATTTCCACTATTTTCACATTGGTTGAGCTAGTCTTTCTATGTACCCTCAATCAACTGAAGAAGTACCACTGCTTTCACTGCGTTGAACAATAGATTGCGTGAGTTGTGTTTTCCAAATAGGGAAAGAAATGCAGCATTAGGAGTCAAAAGGGAGGTTTCTTCAGCCTGTTATGACGTGTTCAGTGTAAACATGTGGACTTCAGTGGAATGAGGACTGCAGCTTTAAACTCACGAAAGAGCCCTTCAGGAGCCCTCGTTTTTCTGGGTGCTGACGCCAAATGATCCTCCTGCCCTGCAAACAGGAAACGATGACACGACTTCCACCCAGAGGAGAAGGAGGAGGAGATGGTTCAGATCCCTGCAGACTGCAGTCGGAGTGTTAGATGGTGGATCGGTGAGACGCTGTGGACCCGCAGCTAATGGGTAAGACGACAAAAACTGAACGGCACAAAGAGAGAGAGAATTTTGGATGTTATCTTATTGTTTTTGTTCCCTGTTTGGAAATGTAGGTTGTACTTTTAGAGTCCTTATAGACACCAGCAGCAGGAATTGAAAACCAAGGAAAACCCCCAATTTTCCACCCCCAATACTACAGCTACTACAGCTCCTTTAACTTTATTTAATTTCTTTAGAGGTCTTGAGTCAAGGTATTTTTAAAATATTCACTCAGGGAAAAGTTGATCACATGCATGGTTGGTTGTAAATTTAGATTCATTGTAGTTCAATTAAAAAGTCAGATAAAAGCAGAAAATAAGTTGAAAATTGTTCATGCAGTTGAATTTGACTCCGATAGTATATTTTACAAAACAAATCAGTGGTTAAAATGTAAACTGAAAATGTCAGATTAATTAAAACAAACAGAAAGTAAATGCTGCTTACTGCACGTCTGGAGATGTATATTGTAGGTTAACACTTTAAATGACATTAAATGAGAATGAAGAGACAAATGTTGGATTGGTGCAGTTTATTGTTTGTCCAGAAATGTAAATCTATGATAAAAACTTGAATATGCTGCTCTATATAGTGTCAGAAGAGAGATATGGAGTCTGGACATATCCCTGAGGGACTTTTAGTTTTGTAGTTTTTAGTTAAAGCAAAAAAATGCAAAATACAACCTTCACCCCTAAATTGATTGACAGGTCTTTTAACAATCTGACAACATAATCTGATTTATTCATGTTTTCTGAGGCTGTTAAAGGTTTGTTTACATGAGTCATGTTTGTAATCCCAGCAGGCCAACATGAAATGTAAATCCTCTTCCATAAATCAAACTCTTCATGGTGAATGAGAATAAACCTTAAATTGAAATGGCAAACACTAATTGGCCCTTTAATGACACTGATCTGTCTTGTTGCTGTCATAGTGCCACAGGCCTAATAAACAAGACATTAACACAATAAATGTTTTATTAGCATTATTATAATAAAACGAGTTTGTGGACATATTTGTATTTATTAAAATCTGGTATTTGATTTGTGTGAGGATGCAGTAATCATCAAATAATAACAATAAGTCTTTTCAAAGAGGTTTACTGATGTAGTTTATCTATTCTCAGAGCTTTTTTTATTATACCAACTTATTAAATGCATCAAAACAAGAATGAGCAATTAAAGTAAAGAAATCCTCTAATATTCTTCGCCTTCTAAATTACTTAAATCTAGTTAGTTCTATTTATCAAGAAAAAACATCTTTTTTTCTGACAAACCATCAGTTTCTTTTTCCATTTAATTTAGTGTTTTTGCTCCATTGATGTGACTGAGCTTCAGACCGGACATTATAATCATTAACTGAAGAATAACCGATAAAGGAAACCCGCTTTATGTCTTCATGTCTCTTCCCCGTGTGCGCAGAGCATAGCTACGGGGAGGTGAACCAGCTCGGCGGGATGTTCGTCAACGGGCGGCCGCTTCCCAACGCGGTGCGGCTCCGGATCGTGGAGCTGGCGCAGCTCGGTATGCGGCCCTGCGACATCAGCCGCCAGCTGCGTGTCTCCCACGGCTGCGTGTCCAAGATCCTGGCCCGCTATAACGACACCGGCTCCATCCTGCCCGGGGCCATCGGCGGCAGCAAGCCCCGGGTCACCACCCCCGCCGTGGTGAAGAGCATCCGGGATTACAAGCAGGACGACCCGGGCATCTTCGCCTGGGAGATCCGGGACCGGCTGCTGTCGGACGGGGTGTGTGACAAGTACAACGTGCCGTCTGTGAGCTCCATCAGCCGGATCCTCAGGAATAAAATCGGGACTCTTTCACAGCCGTATGAGAGCAGCAAACCGGCCCCGGCTCAGCTCCAGTACGGACACGTCTACCCGTACTCCTCCTACACCGGGCCCGCAGTCACCCA